TTGCGCATTTACAATACGATTTTTTGTTCACACATTTATAAAGAATGTTACATATTACTCTCTACAAGTCAATCAGTGAATTATCACTGAAAACGGTTATAACTATTGAATTATTCAGTGGTATACTTGTAACTGTGAATCAGTGGGTATTCACTGTTTTCTGTAATAATCCACTGATTGACTTTTAAAGAGTAGACATAGCTACATGTTTTATATTATAATAAATTATAAAATTAATTGTGATGAAAATATAATAATGATAAAAATGTCAAAAGAAAATGATTATTGTAAAGAAATGAGGACCGCCGATCGAAATTGGCGGGGGTGGTGGAGGGCCTCATATTTTAGCAATGCACTTTCAATGTAAACACAGTACCGTGCAATTATTAATACGTAACATCGGCGTTACATTAGCATTTATTCTATATTCAATGTTACAATTTTATTGGGCAATCTTGCTAATACAATCAATCCAATATTAAATAATCAGGTACAATATCAGTAGTATATTTGCATTTATTTTATGACCAATATTGGTGTTATATTGGGGAAATATTGGCCAATTCACTGCCAACATAACCAATGTTTAACAAATGTTAGCCAATGTACAGCCAATGAATTGTGCTTCTAGGGAGGCGCTTATACGCAAAGGTAAGGCCCTGTGCGATTAAGTGAAGGTTTAAAAAATATATAAAGTAACTATTAATGTAACTATTAAATTAGTTACTAGTTATCGAAAAAATGTAACTGAGTTAAATTACAGTTACAGGTGGAGAAAAAGTAACAAAGTTAAGTTAGAGTTGCCAAAAAGAAGTAACTGTAACTGTAATTTCGATACAAGTAACGAGTTACTTCCCAACCCTGATTTAATATTAATTTATATACAATGCATATTATAATTCGGAGGGCGTCTACTAATTCAACGTGTAGTAAGTTTTGGGTGGGGGACTTCATTTTCTGATTATGCGGAGTAAGAAGTTTATGCGTTGCAGAAAATGGGATGCTTATCAGATTTTAAAAATTGTCGCAGTCAGTCTACAAAACTCTGCCGAGTTCGATGAGTTTGTCTGTTACACGGTCGACCCGTTGAAATTTTAATCAAACTTTCAAATGAGGTTTCGTGGTAAACTCGACACATAAGCCATCAAGAGCGTTACATTCTTGCATTACGTTTTCCACGTCTTACATAAACCCCGAATGAATCGTATTAAAAATATTAGAGCGCCGTCATGTTTCGACACACGACAAATATTATACATTTCGCCTCAAATTTTCTTGTGACATATATTGAAACAGCTTTTGTTGTTATTGTATTTTTTAACGCGCAAGTTTTAAAAAAATAAAAGCAATCAATCATACGAGCAAAAATTCGGATTTTAAAAGCTTTAGATTCTGCCTGATTGTGAGAGGAAACCTTTTATTAAATAACTCGTTTATATATATACATGTATATATCTCCATTTGCTGGAATTTCATTTTCTTATGATACAAAAACGGCACGTGTTCTCATTTTATCGGGGATTCTTTAGTATTTCAACTTTGCCTTTTCTTCCCTATTACGCGAACATAAGAAAGATTATTAGTTATTTGTTGGGGGCGAGTGTCTCCTGCTAAATAAATAATACACGGGTCGTTATTTTCCCAACACAGGCCGTGCACGGGACCAATCGATCCCGTTCCGTCATCCGGGAAGACCGGCTACGTTCCCCTTATTCTGACGGTCTCCCGGGACATTATATAAGACCCGTATCACCCCTCCTCCTCATTCTCAAACAAGAAAAATTCCCTAGAAGAAAATTGATTTCAAATCAAGACATTTGCGCTGTGCCACGTCGCGCTCGCTGAGCGGTGCAAAGTTGAATGTAGACAGCACGTTGGTTGACACCCTTAGCTATTTACCGCTCGCAAAGGAAATTATGTTAAGTGCACGGAGACTAGATCCGTAATAAATTCAAGGCTAACTATTATTACGTTACCGAAGATAATAATATCTTACAGTAAATGTCGTTTCTACATGCGACTCTGTTAATCGGTACGATACACGCGTATTTGCGAGCACTCACGGGGTGCGGAGTTGGGCCGGGGTTGGGATGAGCTATTCCGGTAACGCTAGATTTTGCGCTACCCTTCCGCGTAAAGCCCGTCGATGATAATCCGCCAACAGCGAACGTGCAAAATCGTCGTCGGCAAGTCGTCGCTCCGCGGCCATTTCCCGGGGAATCAATTAACACGCGCCGCAGCGAATTGGCAACGCGCCTAGCAATTATCGCGTCCCGCCACTTCGTGGTGGGCGCGACTACGACGACGAACCAAAATTTCGTGCCGTCGGTGAACCCGAAGTTGACGTGGCCGCGTGCACCGACGGCACGACTGTTCCGATTTACTGATGCGAGCCGCGAGAACGTTTTTCTTTTCTTCTTTCCGAATTTCCGCAAAGAAGATATTACCGTGAACGATTATGTTACTTATTATTATCTAGCGTATCGGTATTTCTGAGCGTTAATGTCGAACATTTTCAGCAAACGCACAAGTAAGATATTAAAAGAAATATGTATTCTTCTTTATTCCGCGTAGTCTATAATTGAAAAAAAAATTGACAGAGTTTCGTCAGGACGAAACATCGAACAAATTTGTTCTTGCAAGATTTCTTAGTATTCGAAATTTGATTTAAATTTCGTTGGCTTTCATGCGTTGTTTGGGATTTTATCTACGAAGACTTTTTTTTATTTCCAGCAATCACGTTTCCCCAGTTGTGTGTTCCTCTCTTCCGCATATGCATTTATATTGGCTCAATTTTTATCTTCCAACCGTACAACAAATAAAAATCTTTGAAAAATTAGCCTGGGAAAACAATGAAAGGATCAAATTTCCAGAGCCATGGATTTTTCATTAAATTCATATTAAATTTCGCGTCCGTTCGGAGAAAAAGCAGACGGGAAACTGATTATACCTGATAATTAGAGATATCCCAGCTGCGAGAGCAAGCGGTAGTTCCGCTCGCAACCGTGTTGAGTATCTCGAATCGTTCTAGCTCGACTCCCAAGAGGTGCTAAAATATGCGTACGCGCTCGCAAAGTCTCCATTCCGCAGCACGATGCTACACGCCGATGGGGAGCCTAATGAATTATATGAATTTAATGAGCCAAACGTGGCGCCGACAGCGCGCCGTGTAATCTGATTTTTATTTTTACCTTCGGATATGTACCTGCGAGAAGTGGATGTGAAGGTCCGTATCTTTACATACATACGATCCAGCGATATACACGGTGGGATGATAAAACGGTAGACGTCCGCTGGTAGCTTAATGAAATTATTGCGATTGTTTCGCTGCTGCGAGTAACGCGCGTACCGCCTGTTTCCTTTTAATTGCGTTTGCCGTTTCGTTCCCTTTTCGCATTCTACTTGTTTCCAGCTGCTGTCAGTTAACGAAAATAGCAGTGTTATCATAATGTGGCTTTAATCGATACTTATTGCTATCTTTCTAACATTTTGTTTCCATTCGCAACTTGCGTTGTTACGACGTGTACCCGTATGCGACATCGGTACGTCAAGACCTTCGTCAATGCTTTCTGGGAAGTTTCGCGTGACGATACTTCCAAGATATACTGTGTAATCTAAACAGGTATCCGGTTTCGATCAGGCGAATGGAATATCGGCGACAATCCAGTGTACGGTTCGCTGACGCGAAACGCCGGATTGCCAGCCGCCAATTAATAATAACGAGAGGACGTTACGGCATTACGGTGAAATGATCGCTTTTAACCGTACTCCCGTCATGGTAGAACCATATCATCGTCAAGGCCATTAATCCAGCCCCTTTCCTCGCCCGATTGCAATTTCGTACGGCGGCCTTGCGGCGGCGCGACAGAGCGGGACGCGCGGATTTTCATCTCCGTCGATTTAATTAAGCAAATCTCGTTTGGTTTTTCGAAAGGGCACTTTTAACATCGCAGTAGCTTTTTGCCGGGAACGCATATTCAGCTGGCCGTGGATCAGCGAGCGATTTAACGGCCGCTAATTAGATATATTTCGATCGTTACGGATCGATTAGTAATTAACGTGCGCTCCCTAATTGATGTCACTAAAACGATACTGGAAATCGGCGAATGAACGTTTAATGACCTGCATCAGTCGAAAGCTGAGAATTACAAGTTGAATATTGGCGATCGCACAGTCAAAATATATATCATCTTATGCGATCGCCGTCAGCGATGTACCTTAAAAATAACCTTTTTTAATAAAAAAAAGGTGAAAAAGACGCCAAGTATAAGCGCCATCCAATCAAGAATTGTATAATTTAATTATTGGGATATATTTTATTAGGAAAAACATTTTATCTTTTCTCTCTCTCTCTCTCTCTCTCTCTCTCCACAAGTATTGTATGTAATCTTAGCATGCGATCGCCGTCAGCGATATTAAATTTTGGAAGATGGAATTTTACATAAAAAGTTGCTCTTCTTCCAAAAGTGAATAATTAATATCATAATTCAGAATACGTTCGCATGACCCCAGCTCGCGCGATTATGTATGCGTAATATCGTAAACAAGAAAAAAATAACGTTTTTTACTGGGATTTTTTACTGGGAACACATAACGAGCAAAACGATTAAACGATCTCGCGCACGCAACCTTCCTCGCAAGAACCCTCGCGAGTTCCAACGCGACAGCGCTCGAAAATAATAATGACATTTAATCACACACCCGTGACGGCCGCCGACGTACTCGAAGATGACGCTCATTAATCACGGATTAATCGACGCTTTACACGGGTACATTTCGTTCAGACGCTTCCGCGATTTCCCGTCGGGACCGAATGCGCGCATTTCGGCTCGCGCTTCTATTTGCAAAAGCGGCAGAAACAAACGAACGAACGCACGCCGTGCCTAGCTGAATAATTAGTACGCTGAAAATGAAAGTCGTCCGGCGATATTTGCCGGCGGGCTTGATCAATTCCTCTCCTACTTCCCCCCCTCTTTCTCTCTCTCTTTCTCTCTCTCTCTTTCTCTCTCTGTATGTAATCCAATTCATCGAGTTTCACGTGACTGCAAATGATCGCGCAATCATTATTGACAATCTCTCAAAATTGATTCGTCTCGCAAATCAGGGTGCCACCTGGCCTGCCATCCAGCCAATGACTGCTCGATGGATTCCACCGATGGAGCGTAGCAAGTTCGTCTCTCACATGATGGGTAAATGATCATGATCTAATTCGCCACGCGATCGCGAGATCCAGGCCAATCGATGCCATAATCGTCTCCCGCCCTCGTTCTTAAAGAAACTGCGAAACGATACGCGAGATCGACAGGGCCGTTTTACGGCCGCGAGATGCGCGGTTGCGTCAATCGCCGCGCCGTAAACTTGCATCGTTACACTTGCAGCCTCGTCGCTTGGCGCCGCGATAACTATGCTGATGTGTGGATTCCTCATCGCCTCGCTCGGCTGGGAGTCGGTATTCTACGTGACCGGCGTGATCGGGATTATCTGGAGCGTGACGTGGTTCTTACTTGTGTTCGACTCACCGTCGCAGCATCCGCGCATCAGTGCGGAGGAGCGGCACTTTATCGAGAGCGCGATTGGAACGACCACCACCACCAAGGTTGTACCAGTACAGAACGTCCATTTTAGTCCCGGAGTGCATTTTGCTCTATTTTACAGTTTTTTTCTTCATTAGTTTACTTTAATCTACACGGAATTTTCTCTTAAACCTCCGAAAATCCCCTGATCATGGGACGACGTGGCATTTTCAAGAACTTTATGAGAGTTTTTTTAAATTTTATCATACATTTTACTAGTAAAATATGTACTAACAATGACTAACAATCACAATAGCGAAATGGTAAAATTTCAAAAAATTCTCATAAAACTCTTCGAAATGCCGTCTTGTCCCACGATTACATAATTTCAGGATAAATTCTAAAATAAAATTCTCTCCGTGTATTTTACTCTTCTAAGAATGAGCCCAAATAGCAATATAAATTGCGACAAATTTATTCATTGGTCTCAATTGAAAAATCTTGATCAACGTTGAAGATACTAATGCGATACTTAAACCGCAGCATCTGCCGGTACCATGGCGCTCGCTCGTCACCTCGAGACCCGTTTGGGCTATCGTGATAACGCACTCGTGCAGCGTGTTCGGCTACCATACCATTGTCAATCAGCTTCCGACTTACATGAAGTACATCTTGCACTTCAATATTAAAGAGGTATATATCGCTAATTATATTAGTGGATAAAACCTTTTTCCATGTCGCACTGATGTACTTTTCGATGGAAATGGTACATACCTATTCTAATGAAATTACTACTAATGGAATGCATACTAATAGAAATAATATTTATAGAACGGCCTGTTATCTTCGTTACCTTATTTAGGCAAGTATATATTTGCCTTATCAATGTCCATCCTGGCCGATTACCTGCGCCGCAACAACAAGCTATCCGTGACGGCAATACGTAAAATCTTTACGACGTTCGGTGAGTAAAACGTTCGCGAAAGTTTCCTCTATTTTTACGTTTCCTCCTACTTAGACGATAAGATCAAATTTTGTAACTAATAATTTCTTAACATTGTATGCAAAACTTGTTATGTAAATTAACACGTCATTTGCTCAACAAGTTTTTATACGTCAAGCCGTGTACGCCACAATAAAATTTTCTTTATAAACGTATAATGATTAAACAAGATTATATCTTACGGATTGCATCTTAAGCAATGTACTTTTTTTTTAAATCGCTGGCAAGAGTATGCCATTCAAAATATTATACCAGGTGGCATTTATTTTTTATGACGGTTTATAAAGGCCTCTATTCACGATGCTAGAACTTGCTCCAAGTTCCAGTTCCGAAAAATACATAGCCAAATCAACTTACAGCTTTTATGAAATAGCTGCAAGTCGATTGCCTGCACCTTTCTCGAAACTAGAACTTGGACCAAGTTCTAGCATCGTGGACACAGGCCTTAAGAACTTCGGTAGCGCCCCCCCTCCCCTAATCACCAATGATCCCTATCAATATATTGATAAAGTATGAATTGCCATAATTGGATTAGAAAATCCTATTTCCGGCTAATGAAGAAACTTCGATTTCTAGCTGTGCTAACTCCCAGCATCCTCATGGTGATCCAGGCGAACTACGGTTGCGATCGCGCGGCGTCGGTCGCCGTGTTCACGGTCGCTTTGACAATAAACGGCGGCATAACGGCCGGCTACCTTGGGAACGGGCTCGACATCGCGCCCAACTTCTCCGGGACCATATTCGGCATCGCCAACACTTTCAGCTCGATAGGCGGTTTCCTCAGTAGCTTCATGGTCGGTAACATCACGTACCACAATCAGACCTACACGCAATGGACCATCATCTTTTGGATCCTAGCGGCCATCTACCTCATGGGCGCGATAGCATTCGCGGTTCTCGGCACCGGCGAGTTGCAAAGCTGGAACAATCCGCCCGACAGCCGCGCGAAAGAGAACGGCGTTTCGGTGGAAGACGGCGCCGAATCGGTTCCTCTCAAAAGCAAAACGATTTCGTAGCGTTTCGAGCGACGACGCTTGGATTTTGCTAAGAGATTGCGCGACGAGGAAGGTGTCGATTTACTGCGACACGATATATTCCAAACGGGACAGTATTCGTTTTTATTACACTTGGATTTTAGGACCGGTCGATGAGTCTCTTCAGCTTGGCAGTAGTTTGCAAGACTTTTCCATTTGTCACTGGCGACGTCTGATAATTTCTACTTTAGAAACTTGCAACGAAACTTTTCTCGAAGCTAATCTCAAAACCGATGTAATTTATTATTATTCTTTTTAAAGACCGTTAGAAAGAAAACTTTTATAATTGTATAACTGACGATTTTTTAAATAGTTTTTATCGCAATTGTATCAAGTAAAAAATCACTTCTTTTGCCAAGTTTGAGATCGAATGACAGAATAATTGAGTGCGTTTTTACACTCGTTTTTCTGTTGTAGTATAAGTTTGCGCAGTTACCAAAAGAGAAAAAAAGACACGCGGCTAGAAGTATCTATGTAGTTAGAAACTTACAATTAGTGTTTACTCGATATGGCAAATTTACAAATAAATATACAATTTGTAGCAAATTTATATCAAACGCCCTTTAAAAATAACTATGATATCAGCCTTAAGAATTCACGTAAGGATAGGTTTTATTAAATCTCATTAAAATATACATTTAAAATATATTGTTAAAATATATTATTGTCATAACTGATACCAATGTATAAATTATTAATGTCGCGATATGCCAAGTTAGAAACATTCAATTGCTTCAATTTAATTTGTATGGAGCAAAGGAAGAGCACTCGACTTTTATAATAGACTGTACATTCAGTTAGCAATGTTAGCAAAAAATTTTAATTAATGACACCATCAACGAAGATACAAACCGATGATCGTCATTAATGATACCAGAGCAGTAACTGACTGATTAGCGGGTTAAAACTTTAGAGCGCATGTTGGTAAAGAGACTCAACTTCATCAGTATTGCCATCTACCATGAGGAAGTCTTACTGATTGTCAACGTCAGTAGTGTTGAACGATGACTGTTGCTACTTCGTATGTTCTCTAACCAAGAGGTGGCGTCAAATGCTGGATAAATACGGCGGCTGAAGCAATGCCTTTTAAATCGTGGCATCATGTACCAAAAAGCAAAATAAAAACTACTCTCACGATTCACTACTTTTAATATTTATACTTTATATTAGTATTTAAACTCGCAAGCTAAAACTTACAAACATCCTCGTAACTAAGATCGGTATTCACAGTCGAGTCTTATATTCAAGACCGTCTTAAGTTCATCTTAAGATGTATGAAACATTTTATTGGTTACGGAGTGTCTAAAAGATAATCTTAAGACGACCTTAAATATAAAATCTGGCTATGATACCGGCCTCTCTTGTGCCTAATTCTACCAATGCGGATTAACTCTGATCTCGGTTTAACGTATATTTGTCATTTTTTCTAGTTTCAGGAATTGGAAAGAAATAAAACTTTGGTTAAACCGGGATTAAAATAAATCTCCATCGGTAGAAATGGACGTTCGTAGAAATGGACGGTCTATCGAAATCCATCTCGCTAAGCCAAGAATAAATTTGTCTCTCAAACGACAGTTTTTTTTTCTAGTTGAAAAACTATCCAATTGATTTTTAAAGCTCACTTTAGACGACCTACAACTCGCGTCAGCTTCCAAGATTCTTCTATTTCTATTATAATTGTATATGCCTCGTATTTTAAATGTACCTGAGAATCTAAATGTACTACGCAGCACATAAAACAGAATTCTACTTTGAGTTCTGACACGAATGAAAGACTATCTAATGTCCATTTATACCAATGTAGATTTATTTTAATCCCCGTTCAACTAAGATTTTATTATCTCTTTCCAATTCTTGGAACTGGAAAAAGATAAAAAGCAAGTTGAACTAATGATCAAAGTTAATCTGCATTGATAGTAATAGGCATAAATGTTAACCAGAAATTAGTCAACTCTTAGACAATAATATAGAAAAAGATAGAGAGTCAACTAACCTCTAGTTAACAGTTAACCAGAAAATGAAAAACCGGGCCTTAGAAAACCCAAGATTGCGGCTGTTTCTCGTGCGTGAAACTCTCGGATCATAACTAGAGATGGGCGATGTTGAAAAAAATCGATTATACAGGGTGTCGGATTCGATTTGGACGACTCCAAAGATTATAGTAGATTGGATCAAACTGAGAAGAAAAGTTATATACCATTTTACAAAATCCGTAATTATTATCGCGTAATTAAGAAAAACGTCTGAGCCAATAAGTACACGGAGGAGCGGAAGGTCGGACTCGGCAGACATGCAAAATGGTGTATTTGTTGACATCTCTCAAGATCCGATAGCGAGAGGTGGAGCGGTGAGGGCGAACGGCGCGCAGCGAGCGAACGCGCGACATATGACACCGCGCCGAAAAAGTTTTTCTGGTGGTAGGAGAATAATACACCATTTTGCATGTCTGCCGAGTCCGGCCTTCAGCTTCTCCGTGCACTTATTGGCTCAGACGTTTTTCTTAATTACACGATAATAATTATGGATTTTGTAAAATGGTATATAACTTTTCTTCTCAGCTTGACCCAATCTACTATAATCTTTGGAGTCGTCTAAATCGAATCCGACACCCTATATAATAACCGATTATGAGAATAGTCAATTTAAAAAAATCGATTATTATAAAAAATAATCGAAAAATAATCGCATAACTAATTTTTCAACTAATTATTAAAAAATGGTGAATAAATAGTTTTTATTGTTTTTCATTAATTTATCTGTTTATTTTGGGCATATTCACATTTATTTAATACACATTATTGTTAACAAAAATAAAACATTTCATTTGGTACTAAAGTAGTCCACTGTATGGTCGGTATTCATAGTCAATTCTTATTTCAAAATCATCTTACGTGTTGTCCGGCTCTGTGATTGATTAAAAATACATTAAGAGTATACTTAAGATGATCTTAAATACATGTATAAGAACGGACTATGAATACCGGCTTGTATGTACGTCGATGTATACTACGCTTACGCGAACGCAGCGGAGTAAAAACCGAAAAAAATTACTTAAGAAATGGAATAATCGATTAATCGATATCATAAAAATCGGTTAAAAAATTGATTCTAACGAAAAAATAACCGATTTTCATTACAATCGATTATAATCACCCATCCTCAATCATAATCGTTGAGGTGCTCGAGCGGCTTGGCACACTGCTGCCGGTCCCTAGCGTCACTCGCGCGCCGGACGTTGGCTGGGCGGCCGGCGCGACGCGACGAGGTTCGAGGACGGCGCGTCAGCGCCGCCGCCAGCATCGCGACGACGGTCCGGGCGGGAAGGAGCCGGAGTGCGTAACGCACGGCGCGGCACGGCGTAGCCGCGTCGCGGTGGCCGGCGTAAGGGCGCCGCGCGTTGCGATGATGCTCGCCGTGACGCGTGGCGCTGCGGCGCTGCGCCGATGTGCCAGGGGATCAGCTGTCCGAGGAGGTTCTCTCCGTACTCGCGTCTCTGTCGCTTCGCCGCCCGTGCTCGCTCGCTCTCCGTCGAACCACCGTTATCCGCTCGCGTTCCTCCGCGTCCTCGCACTGGGACGCGCGCGCGAGGAGGACTCGCTCTCGTTCTCCGCCTCGTATGCATCGGTACGCGCGTGTCCCTGCGGCCCGCGCGCGTTCCCAGCCGAGAGCGAGCCTACGCTGGAAAACGGGACGACAATCGCGCGGATTTTCCCTCCGGCGGGACGTGAGGAACTTCGCTCCCGAGGGACAAGTTATCGCCGGCCGATTCTGTCAGCGGTGTAGACTTATCTAATCGCGCGCGAAACCACGCGGCGACGAAGCCCTCGCGCCGACGTTCTCGATGCGCCCGTCCTCGCCCTCCGGGAGGGACGGATGACCGGAAACGGGTGGAAAAATCCGCGGTCGGGTGACGTCGCGAAAGGGGTAAAACACGGGGCAGCCCGGCTACGCGCGCGCACGCGACACGCCGGGCGGCCGGGAGGACACCGGCGGCCGGGAGGACACCGGCGGCCGTTAGGTATGACGGTAGAATCTCCGGAATTCGCGGACTGCAGTACCAAATTCAGTTGCTATGTCGCACGCAGCGGGCGAACATGAGCGATGCGGAGCACGCGAAGCGCGCGTCAGTTTGCCGCGCGGGACCGCCCGCTCGCCCGAGCCGCTACCGGGAGAACACGTGCCAGAGGAGCTCGACGAGGAGTGCGAGCCGGGGACATGCGCGCGTACAAGGGGGGCGCCGTAGGAGGGGGGGAGCGCCCGGAGCGGGAGATGGTGAACGCCCCTCTTGCGGGAGCGATCGAGAGAACTGGGGGGAGGAGGGGGGGGCGCTCGGCGTGCACCTCCAGCCACCTCATGCCGGCCTGCTCGGTTGTGATTAACTAAGGTTTAATCAGCTTTACAAGCTAAACTTCCTTTGTCGACATGCACGCGCATGATAATCCGCCGGACTATCTCGTCGGGCCGGCCGACGGCCGAAAACACCTCCGGCGCGTCGGGGGATCCTACTAATGTGAATACGACGTCGTGCGCGTCAACGGGAGACGCGCGTTGTTCCGGTCGCCGGCGCCGGCGACGGACTCCGGCGCGAGATCGTCGTCGCTCCCGAGCGCGCTCGTCGAGCACTCGGCCGGCCTTCATACGGTCCTAATACCGAAATTCGTAGAATGTTACAGGCATAGTCTTAGCGACATAGTCCGGGATGGACGAGCGATGACACGCCTCGCTCCGCGAGAATCGATAGTGACTCGCGCGAACGTTTGACACCGAGGCGAGAGACACACGGCACTCGTGTTCATTTTTATTTTTATGCTATACGTAGAAACACCGCGAGGTTTACCGCAGCCCGTCGCGTTCGATCGCGATGATGGGTTCCGTCTCATCAGGTACATACGTCTTGATTGTTAAGCAACTGTCTCTCGGAGATCTAAAAAATATTAAGCTGCATTGCTCATATTTAATAGTGATTTGCCATTAAATTGTGTCAACGAAACGCTTGTTATAAGTGAAAATAATGTATTTGAAGAAAAGCTTTATCTCGCGGGCGCGTTGCGAGAGACAAACGACCGCGCGATATCTTACGTCGACATTGATCTGACGACGCGAAGGCCAAGAACTTCTTGCCGCGCATCGCTTCCTGGTTCGTCTCATCGCGACATCGTCGCTCAATATTCGCCGAGGCGAATCCTAATATGCAACGAGATGCGTTTGCCAACGGTGAAATTATTCGCGTCCCCTGCTGCCTCGATCGCACATACAGGAAACATTTTATAAGCTACTCTCCTCCAAAGAACAATAAGTATCTTTCACGAACTGAGTTTGTTACAAACCGGTTTTCATGTTCAAAAAAACAAATGTCAACTTGATGATCTATCATAAATTTCGTTAGATTCCGGTTTTCACAGTCAACAAACAAATGCCAACTTGATGATCTATCATAAATTTGTCATTTTCGATGAACAAATTTTTTTCTAATATCTCATTTACGTTGCACTTGTTTAAAATGGTATGTAATTGTCGAAACTATTGTAAAATCGAGAACTATATATGCGTTTTACCTATTGTCGAAATTAGTAAACATAAAGAATTCATTAGGAAGCATAAGCTCGCATACAATTATTTATACAGGGTGCTCCAGGAGGAAAGGTCAATATTCTGGGAGGAAATAGTGTCGGGCATTTTAAGCAAAAATGTTCATATGAATATATGTCCCATTCCCCACTGTTTACGAGATGGAGCTATTTGAATGTACAGTTGCAAAATTACTGACAAGAAAGAAATATCGTTGGTGCTTGAATAAGTTCTCGTTGTTTCCCGACAGACGATGTTGCCTTAGCCTTTTTGCGTCGGGCAATACTACAGCGAACTTCATCGTAAAGCTCCACCATTAGGCTCGAAATGACAGTATATGTCATTCCGCCGAAGTGTAAACGACATATTTTTTCATAAATTCCATCAACCGACGGCTCCAGGTGCAAAAGGTTCAAAAAGTGCAGAATCACTCCAGCATCTTCGAAATTGAAAAAAAACCGTATTTCTAATTTGTTTCCTAAAATACGATTTCCTGTAGCTTCCGTAAAGCGTTCTTTATTCTGAAATATAAGTATTGTTACAGCGAAGAGGAACAACGCCGTGCAACTAGCAACC